CCCCACTTTTTCAAAAGGCAGTTTTGGTCTCCTGCACTTTTTTCCGTCCAAAAACAACATTACGCTCCATTAAATGGATTTGGTTGAGCACTAGGACCGAAACGGAAACCGGTTTCCTATTAGACCCGCCCAAAAGCTAATCTATTGGCTCTGCTGATACTTGCTAACGTATTATTGGCTGTTGCTGCTGTCACTCAAGTTGTAAACAGTCAGAACGTGCTCACGTTGTTTTGCTAGTTTGGAGCCGCTAGGGAACACCGGTACTGAGTCACATCGTCAACTAGACGCTGTGTAATATCAGCTCAGCTCAGCTTCCATTACATAACATTTGAATAAGTGTTCATTTGTGAGTTTTTGGTAGTTAGGCACAGCCAGGAGGCAGCATGTCAAGAAAACGAAAAGTGATAAGAGACTTCTTTCAAAGTCAAAACGTAAGTTGGAACATGTGACACCCCTGCATTAAGCTCAGACTCACCTCCTCCTTCACAAACATACTCAAAACTAACTTTTACAAACTCATCTCCTCCACATAACTGACTCCTCAGACACAGTTTATTCGTATTATTATAATTATTTTTTTATTATTATTACTAGTAGTAGTAGAAGTGTAACTTCAAAACTTTTATCATTTAACTTTATTGTAAACGTATCTATTGCAAAGTATATGTTGACATTAAAAAGCTCTGAAAAATGAACAGTATCATCATCGTCAACAGATTTTTTTAAGCTTAATGTCAAAGATGTACACTTTTCATTAGATTTATCTTATTTTTTCCATTTATTTTTTGTGTGTTGAAATGCAACAACTGTTTAAACACTTTTAAGGGAAAAAACATTTAATATGTTTTCATACACTCAAATGTTAGTGTGGCTGCCGTCAGCCACAGTCATGCAGTTTTGAGATAATTTATGGTTCAAGTTACGATAAATAAGCTAAGAATATTTTATTTTTAATAATGTATACGTTAAGCGCGCATTTAAATGGTTTACAGAATATTTCCAGGGTGGAACCAATGTTTAGTTTGTTGTTTCGGGGTTGACAATATTTTCAGTTGCACGCCACACTTGATAGGCGGCAGCATGCTAACCGCTATCATTCGTTGGTAGAGCTATGCAGACGCATGCAACGACGTTTGCCAGCTGCGGAAAGGAGTGACACTGCAAGATGTGTTTTTTATTAACCCCTGCAAGTTAATGCGGCCAATGAGGTATGCAATGTGTGTGTTTATGTCGTGATGGGAAATAAGATGTTTGTTTGTGACAGAACTGTCGAGTCTATGGTGGTCACGGGTAATTTGTAAATGCAAATTGTGAGTGTTTTATCTTGTGTATTAGTGTTTCATTGTTTATTCTCTATGAGAACGATTTATTGTGGAATTGATTATTCTATGTCATTTGTACAGTTCTCACGGCACCGTTGGTGGCACCTGTGTGCAATAAATGCCAGTCAAAATTCAAGAACGCCTTGTGTCCGTTTTCAACTTGGAGGGAGTTACAGTGAGAACTCAATCTGCTCGACATAAGGCGAGGAGACAAGGACCTGTGCCTTTCACCCACTGAGCAAGAGGAAATTCATCGCACTATAGCATCATACAGATAAGACTGTGCATACACCAGTAACCTAAGCAGCAAGAAGTTGCAGTTTCTGTGGATGATCCTTTAAGTGATACGTTTAAATCAAGTTAAATGTGAAGAAGTGGATCAATTCTGGCAACTGCTTTAAAGGAACACTATAAGAACTGAAACCTTTAAGTAATCTGGTGCTCTGCATATGTTCTTTCTAAGTTTATGGTTTTGTCCAATTAAGATTTAGAGGACGTGAAGTCATTTACCTTCTGGTATTTGGATGCTAGAAGTGTTGTAGAACTAAGTGCTGCGTCGTATGCGTTGTTGACTCAAGATGGTATTCATTTAGATATTCCATTAAGGTTTAAGGTGTTGTACATTTTGAAGGTATTATATGAAGCTCATCTAAAGGCAAGGTTAAGCTTGTAGCTATTATTGTTTCAGGCAATTGAGCTGGTATATTGTTCAACGCATGTCTGTCAAGGTACAGCTGTAATTTATTTGTAATTTAAGTAATAAGTAAACATTGCAAATGGATCAAATGACTGAATATGAAACTAAGCATGGCGACTTACTTGAGGGTAGTAGTGCCACAAATGTACAGCAGTCACGTGAAGAGGAGCTACGAAGAGGTCAGAGACATCGAAAGCTTACTGAGAAGGCTCAGCAACTGTATGACGATAAGTTAAGAAAACTTCAGCATCGTTTCACTACAACTTATGATAAGTGGAAAGCAACCGCCAAGCAAGTTAAGAAAATGATAATGGGAGCCCCCTCTGTTGAGGTTGTTAAGGATTTGATATATAAGTTAAGCTGTGCATCAGCAAATGTGAAACATGCATATGAAGATTTGCGCAAATGTGCTTCCCCAGACAGTGAGATCCGTCGTAGAGTAGATACCTGTGACGCATTGTCTAAAATAATCTTGGACAATGCAACCACTTACCTTCAGAAGAAAGATAACGAAGATGTTCAGACAGAGGATTTAGTCTGGCCTGAGTCTAGTTCAGTGCTTTCATCTTCAGCTTCTCAAGGCACAAGTAAAGGCCCTCAAATGAGTTTAAGCTCTGCAAGCAGTTCCAGCATAAGGTCACAAAGGTCAAGCTTTTTCTCTATTAAGAGACAAGAGGCCGTAGCAGAGCTGGCTGCCACACAAGCTGTACTAAAGGTCCTGCAGGACATAGAATGTGAAGAGCAAGAACTAGAAGACCTTGAAGAAGAAGATAGAAAGAGGATTGCATTACAAGAGGAAGAAAATGTGGCAAGAAAGAAAGCACTGGAAGAGAAGCGCAGACAAATAGAGCGCTTACAGACTGTTAAGAAGATAAGTGCAGCAAAGGCACGGCTCCAAGTTTATGAACAAGATGCAAGCTCAGATGAGGAAATAACAGAGCTACTTCATAACCACGTGGCTCAGCAACATAGAGCTCCAGGAGCTACAAGGAGTCCACGTGAGCGTACTGTGATACACCAAGCAGATAGTGTCACAGTCCTTGCTGAAGCAATAGCAGAGTCTATTAATGTAAGCCGTCTCCCAACACCTGAACCGTCTGTCTTTATGGGAGACCCACTAAGATACAACGATTGGAAGATGTCATTTCAAACCCTAATAGGCAGAAAAAACATTCCAGTAAATGAAAAGGTTTATTACCTTCGTAAATATGTTGGTGGACCTGCTAAAAGGGCCATCGAAAGTTATTTCCTACTAGGAACAGATGAAGCTTATAACTCAGCATGGGATATCCTGGAAGAAAGATTTGGAAGCTCATTTGTGATAGCTAAAGCTTTCAAGGATAAGCTTGCAGCATGGCCCAAAATTGGACCCAAAGACAGTGTTGAGCTGAGGGATTTTTCAGACTTTCTTAGAGGCTGCCAAGCTGCAATGTCTCAGATTAATAGTCTGGAAGTATTGAATGATTGTGATGAAAATCAAAAACTTCTAACAAAACTGCCAGATTGGCTAGTAGCCAGTTGGAATAGGAAGGTGAGTGAGATAGAAGAAACGTGTAATGTGTTTCCTACTTTCAGTCAGTTTGTGGAATTCATCACAAAGGAAGCAAAAATAGCTTGCAATCCAGTAACTTCTCTTTATGCTCTGAAGTCCAATGATGTTGGAAAAATAAAGACGACAAAGGCACGAAACATTGGTGCAAAGGTGCTTGTGAGCAATTCGGAAGAGAATGTAGAACGCATGAGATGCGCCTTTTGTGACAAAAGCAATCATGGTATTCAGACATGCTGGAGATTCAAGGAAAACCCAGTTGCAGAACGTGTTAAATTTGTTCAGACAAAGAAGTTGTGCTTTGGATGTTTACAACCAGGACATCATTCAAAGACTTGCAAAAAGAGGAGCGTTTGTGAAACATGTAAGGAAAAACACCCAACATGTTTACATGAAAATCGCGAAAGAGCAACCAGAAGGGAGAAAGGCAGCAATGAGCATGTGGATAGTGTAAAAAACTCAAATTACGCTATGTCAATGGAAAGAATAGAGAGCAAACACACCCCTGAACCATCAAATGAAGCTACATCAAACAGAGTAGTGCAAGGCATGGACAGTATGTACACTTCCACAGTTGTCCCAGTTTGGTTGTCTGCCTCAAGTAACCCAGAGAATGAAATTCTTGTATATGCACTACTTGACAACCAAAGCGACACCACATTCATTATGCAAGATAAGATAGAAGCTTTGGATATGAAAGGGGAAGCTGTGCAGTTAAAACTCTCCACACTTTCATCCAGAAATACAATCATTCCAAGTAAAAGGTTAGTTGGACTGCAGGTGAGAGGTTTCTATTCATCAAAGAGAATTTCTCTCCCTGTAACCTATTCAAGAGAGTTCATCCCTGCCAATCTAAGTCACATTCCTACACCAAAAACGGCAAGAGCTTGGCCACACCTAGAGCATCTTGCCGAGGAGATTGCTCCATTTATTGAGTGTGATGTAGGGCTTCTCATAGGATACAACTGTCCACAGGCTTTGCTACCCCGTGAGGTTGTCCCAGGCAAAGATAATGAGCCATTTGCTCAAAGGACAGATCTTGGTTGGAGCATAGTCGGTTGTGTTAGCCCCTGTGTCGACTATGGTGATGCTATAGGAAGCAGTCATAAGATTGTCGTGAAGTCAGTGAAACCTCATCTACAGACGTCTAAGAAGCTCACAAATGAAGTGAAATACATATGTCGAACCCAAGTTAAGGAGTTCATTTCACCACCGGATGTGCTGAGGATGCTTGAGTCTGACTTCAGTGAGAAAAGAGTAGAGGATGCTAATTTATCTCAAGAAGATTTGCGTTTCCTAACCATAATGGAAAAGGGAATCAAAGTCAAAGCAGATGGTCACTGTGAAATGCCACTTCCCTTCAAGAAAGATCGACCAAGCCTCCCAGACAATAAGGCATGTGCAGTTCACAGGCTTCGATGCTTGAAAGAAAGATTTGAAAGAGACAAACAATATCAAAGGGACTACACGACCTTTATGAGTGAAATCATAACAAATGGGGATGCAGAAAGGGTCCCTATAGGAGAACTTAACAACAGTCCTGTGTGGTACATTCCTCATCACGGGGTGTATCACCCACACAAGCCAGAGAAAATACGGGTTGTGTTCGACTGCTCAGCAAGATTCAAAGGCGTGTCATTAAATGATCACCTTCTCACTGGACCAGAATTGACGAACAGCCTGATAGGGGTTCTCTGCCGCTTTCGCAAGGGACAAGTTGCTATAATGTGTGATATAGAGCGTATGTTCCATCAGTTTCACGTCAAAGCAGAGGACCAGGATTACTTGAGATTTCTCTGGTGGGACGGTGGAAACTTCCAGGCTCCACCATCAGTCTATCGCATGCGAGTGCACCTATTTGGAGCCGCCTCTTCCCCTGGTTGTGCAAACTTTGGCTTGAAACATGTTGCCGCCCAAGGACATGGTCACTATAGTGAAACAACCATTCAGTTCATTGAACGAAACTTTTACGTGGACGATGGGCTCACAAGTGTCTCAACCAAGGATGAGGCCATCAAGTTAGTAAAGGAAGCAAGGCAACTTTGCAGTGTTGGCAAACTGCGAATTCACAAGTTCATTTCTAACAATCATGAGGTGCTTGCATCCATTCCAGAGAGCGAACGAGCAGATTCAGTACGGAATCGAGACTTGGTTCTTGGTGAGTCTCGAATTGAGAGAGCTCTGGGCATCAAATGGTGTATTGTTTCAAACCAGTTCCATTTCAGAGTGATTGTGGAAGAACGCCCACTTTCTAGAAGAGGAGTCTTATCGACTGTAGCATCCATCTATGACCCTCTTGGCCTTGTGGCACCATTTGTTCTGGTTGGAAAGCAAATACTCCAACAGATGTGTAAAGACAAGGTTGGATGGGATGAGCCACTGTCAGAAGAGCTTAAACCACGGTGGGAGTCTTGGCTGGCAGATTTAAGGAACCTGGCTGACATCAAAATTCAGCGTTGTTATCTTCCAGAAGGTTTTGAGAAAGTTGAAAGATATGAGCTGCATCATTTCTCAGATGCGAGTGTTAAGGGGTACGGTGAATGTTCTTACTTGAGAGCAATCAGTGTCTCAAACCAAGTCCACTGCTCTCTAGTAATTGGCAAGGCCAGGGTGACTCCTACAAAGGTCACCACTGTACCCAGGCTTGAGCTGTCAGCAGCAGTCATTGCCGTGCGAATGAGTGAGCTGCTTAAAAGGGAGTTGGAAGTTCAAACCAAGGAATTCTTCTGGACAGATTCGAAGGTTGTTCTTGGATACATAAACAACGATGCTAGAAGGTTTCACATATTTGTGGCAAATCGTATTCAGCGTATCCAAGAAGTCTCCAATTCGGACCAATGGAGATATGTGACTTCTGAGAACAATCCAGCTGACCATGCATCACGGGGTCTGACATCAAAGGGACTAGTTACTTCCAACTGGTTCACCGGTCCAGATTTTCTCTGGCAAGATAAACTTCCTACTGATGACACTAAGGTGGGAGAGTTGGGAGTTGAAGATCCAGAACTTCGTAAGACTTTTGTCCATAAGATACTGACCACAGAAGATTCGTTGCTCAATCATTTCTCAAGGTTCTCAAACTGGATAAGGCTAGTTAAGGCCATTGCACGACTCATACGATGTGTCAAAGAGCTCAAGGGTCTGATAGACAGAACAAACGAAGCCACCAGTCTTGAGGAGAGAAAAGAGGCAGAGTTTTTCATCATAGCCGCTGTCCAAAACGACCTGTTTTCTGAAGAAATCAAAGACTTGAAATCGAAGAAGACAATAAAAGGAGATCGTGCAAATAGATTGCACAAACTGAATCCCTTCTTGGATGAAAAGGGTGTGTTAAGAGTGGGAGGTCGGCTGAAGTATGCAGATTTACACCCACACATCAAACATCCAGCGATCCTGCCGAGCAAAACCCACATATCAAGGTTACTGATTGAACACTTCCATCAAAGGGTTCATCACCAGGGACGTGGGATAACTATGAATGAGCTACGATCGAATGGCATTTGGCTATTGGGATGTAGTCACGCAGTGTCTTCCTACATCTACAAGTGTGTCAAATGCAGAAAATTCAGAAGGAATGCTGAAGTGCAAAGAATGGCAGATTTACCGCATGAAAGAGTTGAACCATCGCCCCCCTTTGCCTATTGTGGAATGGACTGCTTTGGCCCGTTCTACGTTAAGGAAGGAAGAAAGGAACTTAAACGCTATGGTCTGCTATTCACATGTCTGTGCTCGCGTGCTGTGCATATAGAGCTTCTCGACGACTTGACCAGTGATGCCTTCATTAATGCTCTTCGAACCTTTATAGCCATACGTGGAAATGTTCGACAACTTCGGTCAGATCAGGGCACCAACTTTGTTGGAGCAAGACGAGAGTTTTTGGAGTCTGTAAAGAAAATGGACCAAGAAAGCCTAAGACAAATAGGTTGTGAATTTGTCATGAACCCAGCATCTGCCAGCCATATGGGTGGGGTCTGGGAAAGACAGATCAGGACGATTAGAAGTGTTTTGACATCTATTCTTGATCATTCATCTCAAAGACTTGACACTTCATCCTTGCGTACCTACCTTTATGAAGTCATGGCAATCATAAATAGTAGGCCCTTAACAACTCACCTGTTGAATGATCCCACTGGTCCACAGCCCCTTACGCCAAATCACATCCTGACCATGAAGTCTTCAGTGGTTTTACCACCACCTGGTGAGTTTGTGAAGGAAGACCTTTATCTTCGAAAGAGATGGCGCAGGGTGCAATACTTGGCCAATGAATTTTGGACCAGATGGAAAAAGGAATACTTGCTGAATCTTCAGCAGCGAGGAAAATGGTGCAAACCTCAAAGAAATGCCAAAACCAATGACATTGTGATGCTGATGGATAATAGTCTACCCAGAAATGAGTGGAAGTTGGCAAAGGTAACCAAGGTGTACCCTAGTGAGGACGGAATCATTAGGAAACTCGAGCTGCTAATCAGTGATCCGGCATTGGATGACCAAGGAAAAAGAGTTAACAAGCCAGTGTATCTTGAGAGACCCATCCACAAAACAGTTACCTTACTCGAAGCTGAATAAATTCAGAGCTCCTGTCTTTGTACCTTATGTTGGCCCAAGAGTCTATCTACGCTTATTTTCCTTTGTTTGCCTTTTCCTTATTTCCCTTTGTAATGAGGTCCAGTTGGAAATCACCAGTGATTTGGTGGGAGTGTGGCTGCCGTCAGCCACAGTCATGCAGTTTTGAGATAATTTATGGTTCAAGTTACGATAAATAAGCTAAGAATATTTTATTTTTAATAATGTATACGTTAAGCGCGCATTTAAATGGTTTACAGAATATTTCCAGGGTGGAACCAATGTTTAGTTTGTTGTTTCGGGGTTGACAATATTTTCAGTTGCACGCCACACTTGATAGGCGGCAGCATGCTAACCGCTATCATTCGTTGGTAGAGCTATGCAGACGCATGCAACGACGTTTGCCAGCTGCGGAAAGGAGTGACACTGCAAGATGTGTTTTTTATTAACCCCTGCAAGTTAATGCGGCCAATGAGGTATGCAATGTGTGTGTTTATGTCGTGATGGGAAATAAGATGTTTGTTTGTGACAGAACTGTCGAGTCTATGGTGGTCACGGGTAATTTGTAAATGCAAATTGTGAGTGTTTTATCTTGTGTATTAGTGTTTCATTGTTTATTCTCTATGAGAACGATTTATTGTGGAATTGATTATTCTATGTCATTTGTACAGTTCTCACGGCACCGTTGGTGGCACCTGTGTGCAATAAATGCCAGTCAAAATTCAAGAACGCCTTGTGTCCGTTTTCAACTTGGAGGGAGTTACAGTTAGGGTGATGATCATGTGTAAAACATTAGTTCAGCATGTCCTCTAACACAGCAAATGAACAAACGGCCAGATCTCAGGAGGGACCGTTTATGTATAAATAATTTTTATACTTTTGACTAGGCCTGGGAAAGTAACAAATTTTGCTGGATGATATTTTGTCCAACAAATTGTTGATGATAAACGATATCATTGTCAACATTATCTAGACCAAAATAACCACTAATATAATGTTAATATATCATAATAATGCAAGTACACCCTTTAAAATGCAACAAATAAACCTTCATTTAACATTGAAATGTCCAGAACCAGAACTTCTAAATGAATAAAAATAACAAACAAAAATTCAATAAAAAAGGAATCTCACTCCCTGTTAGAAAATGTTGCACCAAAAACAATAAAAAAAAGACCCAAAACAATAAATACAATGGCTTATCCATTGTCAACAGCCAAAACTGCACTTCAATAATGATAATAAATAAAAATAATAATAGAGTTGTACATTTTTTTAACTTTGATATATATATATATATATATATATATATATATATATATATATATATATATATATATATATATATATATATATATATATATTGAGGATGGAAAAATTATTGAGATGGGCACGTGACGTGTCAAGGGGTCTTTACATAACACCCCCCACCCCAAATCCGCACAAGCCTGCCTGTGTCCCCCCCACTTCTGAAATCAAAATTTCGTCCCTGGGTGGCTCAGTGCCTGGTTTGGAAGCCTCCCTGGTGAGGTTTCCCCTGTAAGTCCAACTGGGAGGAGACCTACAGGAAAACCCAGGACATAATGGAGGGACTGTTTCTCTTCTGGCTAGGGAACGTGATTTGGAATTGTAGAATGTCCAAGGAAGATCCCACCTTTTATTTTAAAGGAAGAAAGAGAGGCTCTAACTTTGACATAAACACACAGATGTAGGTTGTGTTCAAGTCCATTTAACCTTGAGAAATACTACATTTGTTTATTTGGTAAACTAGTCAACTGAATTCAATGTTTTCTTTCTGTACACATTTTAGTATCAAGAAAACATGATGAGGTGGTGAAAGATAGTGGGTCAGTTTTCACAATGCTGATTTACCATCGACATATATATATATGGACAATGAGTTTCCATAGACTCCAATAATACTTTTTGAGTTAAAATAGGAGATGGCCACCACCGCCATTTTGACCGTGTCACAGGTTCCGTCAAGCCCAGACAATTCCACAAAAGGGAAGAGAGGAGGAGCTGAGGGTGGGGCTGTAAGGCTGGGATCAACTGACGACACCCGGTCGAACTGGTTTCATGAATATAGGAGGGTCGATCTTATTGTAGTTGTCTATTGTTGCTTGACAAGCAGAAACTGTCACCTGCAAAACACCTCCTCCCTACCTCCTCATTGGGGATGGGTACCTTTGACATTTGAATCGATCCGGTAGTAATTCCCGGTACCTAGGAATCGATACCGGTACTTAACGGTACCAATTTTCGATACTTTTGAGTGTTTAATATTTTAATTCTCTTTTATAATTAAATATATATTTTTCTCAATATGTAACCATATTTGATAAATATCACGATCAATAACATACAACTGTTTGTATTTTAATATCGTCCTTGTAGTTTTTTGAGCTGATAATTAAACTGAAGCAAACATCTTTACTGTGAACTAAATTTACTGTGCATCTTCATTCCTTTTACCATCTTTTTTCAATTGATTTTTCCTACTGGGAAGTTAGAATTTCCGAGGAGAAAGCGAACGCACCATTAGACGATAACAATGGTGGCAATGAAAGCTAACATATCAAGCTAACATTATCTTAAACAGTTTATTTAACTGCTGGAGCAGATTTAAACAATGATGCCTCACACTTAGATCGTTGTCGCTGGTTTCATCTTCACCCAATCACCCGTCACATTTAGTAAAGTGAAGCCAAACTTTAGAGCGCGTTCATGTTCTTCTAGTCGGAAATTTGGAGTTCCGAGGAGAAAGCGAACGCACCATTAGTGAAACGGAAGCTAACAAATCAAGCTAACGTCTTCAACATTTTATTTACCTACCGGAGCAGATTAAGATGAGGATGTCTCACTTACATGCGCAGCTGTCTTGGCAAGTTCTCGTTGTGAAGGACGGGTACCGAAACAAGGCACCGTTTCAAATGAAGTGAATCGGTGCTCGGTCGGTACTGTGGAATTCGGTCGGTACCTTAAAAAGTACCGAATTCGGTACCCATCCCTACCATGGTTCGTTTGCATCGTTAGCCTCTATGGTGTGGGAGTCGTTGTGTTGATTAGATGCAGAAAGGTATGCTGTCGTGTTACTTTCTTGTAAATATGTATATAGTTTCTTCTTCGTTCCAGCGTGACAGTTATGGTTGTTACATTTTTTTCATATTATTGATATATTGCAGCACAAACCAGCACAAATGTTTGACACCAATTTTGTTAGATTTGAAGAATGTGGGGGGACCAACTTCACTTAGGTGTCTGAAGGACTCTGCACAGGGGTTTCTTTGGAAGTAGGAGTAGGAATAAAGTTATAGGTCAGCAGGTTAAAGATCAGCTTAAATGAATTTCACCATTCGAACAAATGATGTTTTTTTTTGGCGTGAGACCACCAAAGATGATAGGACCTTTTAAATCTTACTTTCAGATAAGCTGATGACGTTCAGCAGCTGAAACTGGGGGTGGTGGCAGGAACTCAACTGCAGAGAGAAAATGAATACCTGCTTGGGACAAAATAGAACAAACAAACAAACCAAAAACTGCATACTGCTGGGACTCAACAATACAGCTTATCTGTGCAATAACATATCAAAATGATTTTAGTTTTAAGATAGTTTTTGTTTTTCTTCAATGTAACATCAACTTATCAAGAAATATGTCATGAAATATATACCAGAAAACTGAGAAGGTTGCATATGCATTTTGTATGTTGGAACTTTTACCCTGAACTTTATCAAGTGTTCACTTTGTTCTCTTAGTTCTACAGTAAATATATAAATGTTAGAATATCACCTTAGGTCCCGTTCATGCAGACTCTAAGGGATAGATAGTAACATATATGTAACAGTACATGAAACAGTGCCTGACTGTTTAAAGTCCATTTACAACTTAGTGTAGCATCCTGTATGTTGGAGTCGAACCTAGCTTCGTCAGTGTATACTTAGTTCATGCAGGCTCTAAGGTAATGTTGATCAACTGATTACATCTCAGATAAGTGCATCCAACATTCAATAGTGAAAATGGAAGTGCGTTTTTCTCAGATGACATTGAATGTTACGTAGTACGTGTTACGAACCTTTTAATAATCAATTTTATTAACTACTTTCCTTTTTATTAAACAGCACTAGTTCCCATGAGAACAGGGCACCCCGTCGCGGCTCTTTGTGGACAAATTATTAATAGTCGCTTCCCACCACCCCTATTTTACAAATATGCAAAAAAAAATAAATAAATAAAAAATAAAGCGAGTTTTTCTGATGGCATACAGACTTCTGGAGAATAACATCAAGCACTATCAACCAACTCACCGAGCTGCAGTATTTCTGTGGTCAGGTCTCTCTCCAAGTCCGAGAGCTCCACAAGCGGTCAGCCCGTACAGCTGACAGGCGCCGCAGCGGTCAGAGATGTGCCGGGCTGACCGCTGGGGAGAACCGGGTGGAAGTATGGAACACAGAAGTCTCCCTCCAAGAGCTCCACCAACATGTCATATTTCAACCCATTTTTATGTTAAATGCACTGGGTTTTACACCCATCGACATATTCCCTATTAATTATTTTACTGTATTACATCTAAATTTAATGGTTATACAGTACATGTTAAAATGGTAGCTAGTAGCCACTTTGATAAGCTCAGCTTGTGCAAAAGCGGCAGTGACCTAAAATACATAAATATAATTTTACTTACCCAGCCTGGGCGGGACTGTGACCGGTGACGGCCGTGGAACCGTATCTAGGAGTCAATGTGCTCTCTAACCCATTACCTCCCTCCCCTGTCCAAACGGAGGTGCTCGGC